TATTAGAAATTGTTAGCCGCAGAATTTATGTGTTTTTGACACTTTAAAAGGAGAGTGTCAGCCGTAGAGCTCACGTGTTCTCAGTAAAGGTTGGAAGGTCCCAAGGGGTAGCGTGGAATTTCTTGCCAAGATTCGTTACCAGCAAGAATTTCGGTAAAACAGAGGCGGTCGCTCGCAGCTGTGAGGAGACTGATAAAAGCGAGAAAGGATACGAAACGGACGAGGCAAGGCTGGGTTTAGGCCTTGAACCAGGTCCCTAAGGCAGGAAACCAAGCACTCAAGAGAAAAACAATCCGAGGGGAGCGTCCTCTGGGGGAAAATGGGGTGAGACAGCCCCTCCTTGAATCTGTAATTAGAGGATGGTATAAAGTTATGAAACGTGTGTGATTCGGGGTGCATCCTTTGGGATTTTTTCCGATGCATCCAGCGCTGCAATAAACGTGTGGTTTTTGGCTTTCTATATCGAGTCTAGAGAGTTTCTTCTCCGACTTTTTGGCATCACCCCCACTCAGGCTGGTCCTGCAGCCCCGTGCAGCGTCCAGGTGCGGGCTGGGAGTGGGACTGGCCCTTCCACTGCCCTCCTCGCCCCATGTCCTGGGCCTGTGGGTGCCCAACATGCTCCCTCCCCACTCCAGAGCTCAGCCTGATGATCCCGCTGGAGCTGCACCTCTGTGAGCTGCACCATGTCCAGTCTGCGCCCATGGAAACACCACCTGCAGTGATGGGAATGCCTGTACAGGTGCAGGGACTGCACTATTAGGAACCCACAAGCTCAACCCGTCCTTCAGAGCACTTAACCAGAACTTTAAGCTGGTGACTGCGCTGTCCCATAGCTTTTAAAACCCTCTGGCTCCTCTCTTCTCGCTGCCTTAGCCCAGGCAAGGAGCCTTAGGCTGGTGGATGGTAACCAGGCCTCAGCTGGCAGTGAATAGTTAAGGGCACTGCAGGGTTCCAGTTGTACAGCAGTTCAGCCAAGCAGCTCTGGCCAGAGAAGTCCTCAGGGCTCCAGCCTTCTCCTGATCTCATCAACAAGCTTCTCCCTTGGGATATCAACCTACAAAGCAAAGAGAGGGGGAAGTAGCAGCATTAGAACAGAGCACAGTTCTAAGGACCAAAGGCTTGCTTTGGATACTAACACAGTTTGTGACTGGTTTTCTGGAGACACCCAACAGACCTGTGCTATGGCTTCCCAAAGGAACATCATCACTGAGGGAAAATCCAGAGCCTTTCAGTGATCTCCAGAGTTTGGAACCACTTTTGACACCTGGATAAAAGGACATTCTCACCTCCTCTCGTGTTGGGACATCTCTCAGCTTGACGACTCCGTCTGCCAGCTCCTGCTCTCCTACAATGGCAGCAAGGGGGATCCCTGTGTCCTCACAATACTGCAGCTGCTTCAGCAGTTTAGGATCCTTCTTGTACAGCATCTCTGCCTAGCAGGGAGTGGGAAGGACGAATCACTAACCCAAATTTGCTTTGATGGATACTGGAGCAAAGCAGCCACCATGAAACCCTGCAGCAAGGGGTTGCCTTCAGTGCTCTGGGCTGTTCTTCTGTGCCTACCTAAACCTAACGGTTGGACTTTGTGATCTTTGATGTATTTTCCAACCTGAATGGCTCTGTGATCTCAGACAGGCCCAGATCTTGAAGAGAACACAACTAATGGAGCTGGTCTTGCTGTGCTACAGCTCCTTCAGGCTCTCCCTCCCTCACCCATGACACCACCGAGCCCAGGTGGTTCCTTTACCTTGATCCCTGCGTCCCACAGCTCCGAGATGAGCTTCAGTCTGGCAGCAAGCAAGTGTTTCTGGGGTGTGGCCACCAGCACTTGGGTTTCAGTTGTGCGAAGTTTCTCCCCAGAAGCCTGGAGGGACAGACACGCTCGTGGGAGTGACTGGCTCTGAGGGAATCTGCAGCTCACAGCACCTCACCTCATCTCCAGACCTTAACTCAGTGACTGACAACCTGGGCACCTTTAATGAGCTCCCCAGAGACTCTGCATTGTGTCACAGTAGTTGATCATGTGCTGCTGCTCCTGTGAGACCTCGGCCTCCCTCCCACATGGGACCTGGACAGCTTTCCAAGGTCTCCTTTGATTCTCCAGGTACAAACACATTGACTCGGCCTCCTCTGCCAGGAATCACAAGCTCAGAATTAAACACAGGGATGAATCTTCTCAGAGGCTTTCCTGGGGTCCTCATTACAGAGTGTCACAGACAATACCGAATTCATCACTTCCCAATCTCCAGGGCAGGAAACTTCACAGGCAAGAGAGGAGTAAAGTGACTGGGGCAAAAAGCTCAGAGCCAGGCCCAGAGCTCAGGGCTGCCTCTAACACTTCCTTGCCATTTCCTAGGGAATGCTGCCCTCAGCTGCCCACACCTGCATCCTGATGGGCTGCAGAAAAGGGCTCTGTCTTCTTCTGTGCATGGACACTCAGGCATGAAAGGAGCCACCCTCACCCCAAAAATTATTTTCCCTTGAATACCGTGGAGCTGTAGATCTCTAATAAACAATAGGTGACTTACTAGGGCCGCCTCCAATGCACTGCCTGCAGCACCTACCTTCAGCCTCTGCTCCAGGATGGAGAAGATCCGCTCGATGCCAATGCTGACCCCCACGCAGGGCACCTTCCGGCCCTTGGGATCAAACATCCCCACCAGCCCGTCGTAGCGGCCGCCTCCAGCCACGCTCCCGACGCCCACCAGCTCCTCCACGTGCTCGTTCTCCTGCTGCAGCAGCACGGCCTCAAAGATCACCCCCGTGTAATAGTCCAGGCCCCGGGCCAGGCTCAGGTCGAAGGAGATCTGCAGGGCACGAGGGCGGCCCCGTCACTGGGTGCTTGGGGGGCTCACCCGGGCAGCACCCCCTCCTGCCCCTGCACCTCCTCACCTTCCCTGTGATGCCAAACAGGGTCAGGTACTCAAACAGCAGCTTCATGTCCCCCAGCCCCTCCTTGGCCAGCTTGTTCTGTGACAGCTTTGGGTCCTGCAGGAGCCGCTCGATCAGGTCCAGCCCACCTGTAGGAACCAGACTTGCCTCAGGTGTGCCAGGGCAGCAGCACCAGCCACAGTGGCCCCAGCCAGCCGTGTGTGTGCCCTGTGCACCCTCCATCCCCAGAACAAGCCCAAGGGCTCGGCCCCTCAGTGCTCACCGTGGAGCTGGACGTACTCCCCGATGCGATCCGCAGCCTCGGGAGAGAGCCCCTTCTCTCCCACCATCTCGCTCCTCACTTCCTCCCACGGCACCTGGGAGGGGACAGAAGGGCATCTGTTACTGCAGGACATTCTCCTCACCCACTGGTTTCCCACAGTGGGGTTTCCCACTCCTCTCCTCACCACTGCCTCCACCAGCCCACATGAGCACAACTCTGCTGACTGTCATCCTGCACATCTCACTAATCATCTGTATCTCTCTCTCTCTCACAGGAATTTTTAACAAACCACTGGAATCACCAGGTTTCATTCCAAGAGATCCCTGAATCCTTTACCCACGCCAACAATTTTGCTGCTGTGACCCTCTTTATGTCAAGAGGGGCCATGACACTGCCCTGCTCAAGACCAGAAGCGTCTCCCCATGAGCCCAAGGCTGACCTTGTCCAGCTTGTCCACGGTGGAACAGGCCGTTATGAACTTGCTCTCTGGGACACCACAGACAGCAAACACACCGTTCAAAATCCGTCTGTCGTTGACCTGGGGGAGGGAGAGGCACACTTAGCTCAGGGACATCCCCCCCC